TCCTCCCCTCTCCCCGGTTCCCACCCGCCCTGCTCCAGGGTGGCCTCTGTTCCCGGTTTGAGCTGACACGACTGGCACCCCGAGCCTCGCTGTCACTGCAGAGTGGTGCTTCTGCCTCCCAAACCAGTGACATGCATTCGCTCCAAAGGTCGGAGCGGTGGGCAAAGGCTGTGAACAGGCTACGGAGGGGGCCGATGGGGGCAGCTCTGTGGGCGGACGCCCAGCAGGTTTTTGCTTCAAGTCTCCCCCAGGGCCAGCCTTTGGTCAGGACTTTGCTATTCCCGTCCGGTCCCAAACAAGTATGGCCCCTCTGGGCTGCCTCTCTCCAGCCGCAGGGAGACAGCCGCGGCTCTCCCTCCCTCCCTCCCTGAGACCACCCGCTTTGCCGCTAGCCCGGCCGTACTCCCAACGCCCCCCGCGCCGCTCAGCGCCTTCCCAACGGAACAGGGGTAAGGAGGAGAACGAAGAGGACGGGGCGGCGATTGCTGCAGCGCCCGGCACCCCAAGAGATCTCGGGGACACCCCAGCAGCTCCCGAGCGACCCCGGACCACCCCGGGCGCTCACTGTGCCTCACGGCTGCCCGGCGCCGCCAGACGCCAGGGCCGCGGCGCCTGAGGACATGGGGCCGGGCACCGGGACATACCTGCTCCTGCCGTGCCTCCCGTGCTACTCCAAGCCCCTAGAAATAATGAGTCAATAAATAAATTAGGAAAAGCCCCGAGGCAGCAATGTGTCTGCAGGTGCGAGGGGTCGGGGCAGAGGCTCCTCCGGACCCAGTCGTTTCAGCGAGGACCCCTTTCCACAGCCACAGGTGCAGAGAAAAACGAGCATTTTGGGGTAAAAAAAGGTTCTCCCAATGCTACCCAGTGTCGCCTTCCTTGAGGCAGACCCGAGGAGATGTGTGCCTGAGTGTTGGCATCACATACACCTGCCATTAAAAGAATGATGAAATTAATATACCAAGCCTCAGCTTTACATTTTGGCCTGGACTTTTAAACAGGCATTTATTAAACAACACAATGGCTGTGTTTTTCAAAATGTGTGTTAAAGCATAAGTACCAACTGGAGGGTGGAGATTGCAATCAATAGTTTTGTAATTTTATTGATAGTGTAGCATCCCTAAGGTAGGATTCAGATGGAGTTTATAACAGTTTCTGAAAACGTCAAGTTACTTACAAGTAACTTAGGCCTAAGTGCACTTCAGTAAAGACTCATATTTTTCCACAGAAATTGTTTCATAAATCTCTTTAGGTATATTTAAGTATTATAGGTTTGCATTTTAATAATATGCTGCTTTTTGCTTTTAAACATTCAAGGTGCCGAAAAAGAATTGTAAACTGTGAAGTAACTACTATGGGAAAGATTAAGTAAAGCACTGGAGGCGGATGATTTTGACAATAAAGAGGGTGTATGTGGTGAGTGTTTAATATTTATTGCATTTAATATTACAAATTACTATTTATTATTTTGAGATTTATGTGAAAAGCAAAACCTGGAGAGCAAAACTCTACTGTGTTATATACTTACAGGTACTCCTGTGACAAAGGCTTTCTGTAATTATTGCTTGATGTGTGTAACACCATTTTAGTAATCACATGCCAATTTATTTAAAGTTAGTATGTCAGATGTGCCTACCTTGCAGATATTTTTTTGCAATTAAATGATTTTGCAAAGAATCATGTGCATGTCATTTCTTTGTAGTGGCTTTCAAAGTATTTAAATTGTGCTCCTGGAATATATATCCTATTATCTTTGAAATTATCTGAGTTTATATCTTTTTGTTCATTATGAAAGCATATGGATTGAGGGAATATTCTGAATGAATGAAGAAAAAATACAGTAGTGTTGAATAATCTTGTGGGGTAGATTAATCTATAGCCTCGATTTCTCTCAGGGTGGGTTGCTGTGGCAACCACCCCAGCTCTCTTTAAAATAATTTTGTAAAGCTCACTTCAAGCACTGCACCCAGCGTGGGCAAAGTTTAAAAGCAGCCAGACATGGGAAGAAGAGTTATACTGTGTTGCTCTTACAAATAGGGAGGTGGTGGAAGAGAGCAAGGCATGGAGTGGAGTGGGGTTGAGAAGAACTTTAAACAGAAAATAGAAACCAAGCCACCCCAGAGTTAAGATGCAAAGGAGTTGGATCATTTTATAGTAACCTCACTGCTTTTCAGTTTAAATGCCATTAAAGGATGTAAGCTGGCAATCTTATTTCTCCTTAGGGAAAGATGTGTTCTGGATCCACAAAAGAACAAAAATGGACTTTGATAATCACCTTCAAAGGAAATGTTACCTTGAGATAATCACACTTGTAAGGGAAAGAGATACTTGGATACACTCTTTGATAAAGCTTTGGAGATCTGATTTTATAATTATTACACTTTGACTGATGTCTCATCATTTAAAACACTGCGTGCCTCAGGTGGTGGATTGAGAAAAAAATAATTTTGTCAGCAGTTCTACACATGAACTCTGGACAGCAGAAAAGAGCAGATTTAACTCTCATGACAGAAATCTGAAAACAGTGCATTTGTGGAGCATCAGTAGAAGTGCAGAAACCAGAACAAAGGTTTTTCACTGCTTGAAATTATCCCAGATTTTTAAATGAAATGCAACAAATGAGAGGAAAAAAAAATCCAAAACTCTTCAAATGATACTGCATAAATTCATGCCTTATCTAACCCTGAGATGAGTAAGAAAGCCTGATCCCTCCCCTTATAACTGTTTGTCCATCTAGCATCTGAACCCTGTTTTAAAAATCGAGGTGTCTTTTACATGGGTTTGATAAATTGTACTCGTGACAAAAACTTGGCATGGTTTTAAGGTGCTCTGGAATGTGAAGGTCACAACTATATAAAGATTAGGCCACAAGTACCCACATGGAGGTGTAGCTGATGTTCCAAGCTGCTGTATACTTTGATTTTCTGAAATACTTGCTTACTCTAATAATTACTTTCAGAATATGACAGTGCTTGTCTTCTGTGCTGCCAGTCGAAGAGCTGTGTTACCAACTAACCAGAAACCAGGAAACTTACACATCCTGCACAAAATAAAACAGATGTCAGTCATTTTCAATTAGAGCAAAAAGTGTGAAGTCTTAACAGAGTTTTCTGGTTTTGCCACTAAGAATATACAAATATTAATGGATAGTTGGGTGCCACGCTGGGAGACCAAAATTGTCTGTAGAAGAGGCATAGAAAAGGTACAACCCATGTAACTGTTCCATGTTTCTTTCCTGCTGTGCTTCCCTCCAGACCTGAGACTGAGAAAGTATTTCTTCCCTAATGTTTTTTGGGCTCTGCTGCTGCCACTGCAGAGCGTATGCACCTCTTACAACCGTGTACAATGTGCTTGGCTCGTGTCTGGCTGCCTGTAGGTTCTGGGCACATCAGTATCACTATCTTTGTTGGTGTGGGTGCATCTGTACCATGTCACTGTCTGCCCATGGAGAGTTGTGCACTCTCACCCAGACAAAGCAGGGCACGATGAAATCCGCAGTATTCTCTAGGGATCTGCATTGAGAGCAATTGCGGGGTGCTTGTTAGAGCTGCTTGAGCTTTGTTTTGCTCTGACCATGCTTCTGAGCATCCATGTTTTAATAAGTATAGTTGTACTGAAAAGGTATTTATTCACTGTCAAATACTTTGAAAGTAGGTCAGTGGCCCAATGAGATGTTTATAGGGGAAAAGACTGCAAGACCTGTATTAAAATAACCCAAATATATATTTATCACTGTGTTTGAGTTCAGTCGTTTGGTTTTATCATGTGTGCTGTTCCTATTTCCAGTATCTTAATCTATCATAAAAATAATGGTCTGTGCCTTTACAAACTCCCTTGCTGCTCTCAAAGGATCGTAAAAGTTGGCTATCTGCATGGAAATTAAAACAAGTATCTGTAAGGTTCAGTTTTACTCACAAATTACCGCATGTGCTTAATCTGGATTCAAACTCCTATACAGTGCAGTCCTTTTAGTCTGGTTTCAGAAGTAAATGAACCTATTAAAAAAAAAAAATTATAAAGCCGTGTCCTCTCACACAGCGTGCTGCCAGTGCTGCATTTCTGCGGGTAAGCCTAACACGAGACTGTCTCTGGCAGCCGGCCGTGGCCGGGACCCGCGCAAGGAGGCGAGCGGTCCAGGATCCAGTCGGTGCTCCCCGTGGGGAAAGTGCCTCTGCGCCGGCGCTGGCCTGGCACCGCTCCCCACGCCTCGGGAAGCGGAGCGGGATGAGTTGGGGAAGTTGGGCGGCTCAGCGGGCGAAGGGCTCGGGAGGGGGAGCTCGGCCAAGGTGCGAGGGGCTGGGCGGGAGGTCTGTGGGGAAGGAGGGGAGGGCCGAGGGGCCGCAGCCCCGCTGCGCTCCGGGGGCGGTGCAGGAGCCGGCGCCCTCCGGGCCGCCCGGCGACCACGGGCTGGCTGTGCCCCCTCTCGGCGCCCGCCCCGCCCGCAGGGGGCGAAGCCGCCCCGGGGGTGCCGTCGCCGGCACACCGGGGTGGTGACTCGCAGGTTCGGCTCGAAGCCCCTCTGCCCCGCAGGTCCGGCGGGCGAGCAAGCTCGACCACCGCGGTCCCCGGGCACCCCGTCCGCGGATGTGCTGCCTCGGGCGGAGCGTGGTCCGACCCCGCGGCCGCCCTGCCCTGCCATGCCCTGCCCGCCCTCGGTTTTCTGCACTGCCATCACCAGGAGGGGGGAAACGCGCACCGGCTCGCCGCCTTGTCTTCGCTCAGTATAATAAAGGATTGTCATTAGGTTTGCGTGTGGCATATGCCATTACCCCCACCGTAGAACTAAAATTAGCAAAATGTCAGGAATGGAAAGATTGATTCACCCAAGATGCAATTATCATTTAAAAAGTGCTTGATTGAGGTGCTGATGCTCAGTGATTTATTCTGCATACCATATACATAATTAAAGTACTGTAGTGGAGCAATTTATCAATCTAGTTTAGACTAGAGGGGCAAGGAGCTGCTGCCGCTGCTGCTGCTCTATGTTTGTTTTATTAAAACGCTTTGGGGATCTGATCCCGCCCCCTTTTTGCAAGAGTGAAACTGATTATTTCTCCAGCTCGGGAGGAGAGAGTCATTCGTTTGGGATTGTGGGAGAGGGAGAGAAATAGAGACACAGAGAAGGAGAAGAAAACGGAGGAAGAGAGAGCGAAGCAGAAAAGGACACCTCATCAGGCGTGTAGTTTGAATCCCTTTCTCGCCTCCCCCTTCCCCTCCGCGATGTTACAAAGGCTGTGAGCTGTTCGCCTTTTCCCATTCGCCTGCTGTCACTTCCTTCCTGGACGATCTCAGGACGAGTCCGATTACTTTTAATCCGACCAGCAGCTCAGCCACTTTCTCCTCCTCCACGCTGCACACACGCGCACACGCGCGCACACACACACAGATACACCAGGCATCTTCTGGCTGCTTATTGGATTGACTTTGAAGGTTGTGTGTGTGATTCAAGGCGGCTGCATGTTGAACCAGGTGGTGAATATTTAAGGCTGGAAGAAGTAAAGGGATTTTTTCTTTTTCCTATGAAAGGAAAATATCTGAAGGACTAGTGTGATCATCCAAACAGCTAAATGTTTATAATGTAAGTACATGTGAAATTCAACATCGGACTAAAATATAGTGGGCATGGTACAAAAGTCCTAGGTACATTTCCTATTGCGTTTGAAAAATGTATCAGTCATGTTATGTGGATCGAGATTGCTTGCACATTTTTTAAGTGTATGATGGTGCAGTTGTTTAATATTAACTTGTTAGACAAGTAACACAGTTAAATCACAGTCTAGTAAATTATTGCTGACTTGTCAGTATCAGTGTCATAAGTGTTTAAACTTTGATAAAGTTAGTTTTCATTATTTGTGTGCTTGATATTGAAGTGTTGGAAACTTATTTGATTTAAATAGTTCACTAAAAGCTATGACCTTGCAGTGCATGCACTCTGATTTATCAGACTAAGGAAGCAATCCAGTTTGAGTGAATGTTCTTAAACTTCATTTTATCATAGGCTCTCCAGTTCTTGAGTTTAGGTAGTGCGTGCTTGCAAGTGTTTAACTTTATGCATCTTTCATCTGAATACTTAAATTTGTGTTGGAAAGACCCCTTGCACTGATATGGGAATTTAAATCATGGGCTGCAAACCTCTTTTGTAATAGTATGCTTTGGTCTTTACACGGTACTTTGAGTAATCTTTACATTTTTTGACACAAAGGAGTAGAGCTAATCAGCCTTACAGAACTGGCTGGTGTAGTTGCAGTACAGTTATTTACAGGCTAAGATAAAGTTTAATGTAAATGATAGACTTATAAGAGTATTGGTGCATTATGTAATACTTAGTGTTTGCCATAAAACTTAGTGTGACCTTTTGTAAGCCTGAAAAACCAAACAAATATAAAGACAAACTAATAATTCCCCTTCTCAAAAAAAAGAAAAAAAAAAAAAAGGAAAGAGCAAAGCAGCACATGGCAAAACAAAACTTAATGAATTATTGTGGATACCTAGGCATTGTGTTTTACACACAATGTGTTGTATTTTCTTTATTGTATATTATAGTTGTTATTACCAAATTCCTGCATTCTCATATTAAATAAATACTATAATACTCAATTTAAGACTAAGGATGTGATAATTAAGCAGAGAAAGGCACTTCACCAGTGTTTTACTGGTGATCAGAAAAGAATTGCTTTGACACAAAATTTTCCTAGCACATATGTGACGATTAGCTTATTGGCAAATGTCCTAGTTTCATATCTTTACTTTAAAATAACTCCAAGATGAGTGATAAATTATATTAGATGCAACTGTGTCTGGATTTTTTTCATTGGCACTTTTCTGGTTATTGTGGTTGAAGAGTAAAGATGTTTATATGGAGTATAAAAACTAAACCCTAGAGGCTTGGCAGGGCATGGAAATATTACCACCTGTGAACAGGTACTAGCCTCTGTATTTGAGGCTGTATACATACATACTGATTTCCAGGCGAATGGGTACTTTGGGGATTTGTTCTTTTGTATACTACTTTTGTTATCTGATTTCAGGTACCTTACATGAAGTAAAAAAACCTACAAAACTTTCTTACATTATCTGTTTTCTTAAAATACCCGTTATATGATTCTTTCTATATCAACGAGTACATAGTTCATACTGCGTCTAACACTGAAGTCTGTGCTCATGTTCAAGTTCCTTTGGAAATGATAGAAAAATTTCCTGAAGAACTTAAGACAGTGGCCCTTAATTCAGGGTGTTTATGTTCCTTGTCGTACACGGACTTTTATTTTAGAAACTTGGTGTTGATATATATTTTTACCAGTATACCCTACATAGCAAGTATGAAAAGATAATTCTGGGACCTGAACATAGAAACCTTCTTTCATGCAAGCAGTTCCTACAAAACTAGTCCAACTGCCAACACTGAGACTTGTGTGAAAATGAGCATGTCACAGGGATAATGATCTACAGGATCAGGCCCCGAGGAGACCTAAACTTCTTGCCTGTCCCAAAGCTCTCACAGGACAGAGATGTAAAGAATGTCAGTTTTAATGTCCTTTAAAAGAATGCAAGGATCAGACACCATCTGTATTCTCTTAAGATTAATTGACCAAGAAAAAGGAAACTTAAGTTTAAGAGCTTTTTAGGAATTGGCAGTAAATGATGAATAGTGTGTGAGAGAAGTCTTTTAAAGGGGTATGTTCCTGAACTGCTAGTTTTGGAGCATCAAAAGAAAAGTCCTACAAATACTTTTCTTACTGTGATTTTTTTCCCCCCAATATGGGATCAGTACATTTTTCTTACTTTTTTTTAACATTTCATCTACCTGCAACATGTATATTCAAAACCAGAGATACCTGTCTTATATGGTTCTGTTTTTTAAAACACCTAAAATATTATAGACAAAGAGGAATTAAGCTTTCTGAAGCTTTTCCCAAATGTTTGCCTAAGAAAGGTTTTGATAACTCACTATTCAGTAGATAAATGTAATTACATAGAAACTTAGGAACTGAGCAGGAGTTGTTAATAGAACAATTTTGCCAACTTATTTTCTTTTAATTTTACTTCTCTGTAACAGGTTAATTTATTGTTCACCAGAATAGTTTAGTTCCTCTTCAGAGACAGCTAAAGATATTTCTACTTCTCATTCAGCAGGAAGTCATTAATTGCTATTAATTACTTGAAAGAAAAAGCATTTGATATATAGGTTTCATTTTTACCTGTTTGACATCATTGCTCTACATTGCATGATAATGTATCAAAAATCAAGTGCCGATACTCTTTTGAAAACACTGATGATGATGATGATGAACCTACATAAAGTTCTGTATATTTTCAAGGATTTTGTAGTCCTTGCTCCAGCATTTTGAATAATAACCAGAACATTTATATTTGTGATGTATTTAAAATTTTTCTATATGATTCTCTATATTAAAATTTTTCTATATGATATCAGTAGAGAGATTTTGCTACATTCTCATTTAGGCTCTGTAGTAACTCAGGTATAAAACACAGAAAAATTATATATGTAAGTCTGAACAGCTAGAAAACTTCAATTTTTAAGAGTAAGGCTAGAATTCTGGTATTTGAAAAGGATAAAAATATAATTTTGCAACCTATTTCAGGAACAAAATAGGCTGAGAAGTTCTCTGGTCAGCAAACACAACTGATGGTGCAAGTAAAAAATTGAAAAATTGAATTTCTTAATTTTCTATTTTTAAATGTAATTGTTTGGGTTCTCTGACCATCTTTAAGGTCATTTTCTCAGAACTGGTGGTCAATGCTGCATGTGGACAGGTGATTAAAAGCAAGTGTCTTCAACCCTCCACTTTAATGTCACTATCTCATTGACTGCAGTGCAGGAAAGCTTGTCTATTCACTGGGATCTGTCATCTTTAGGAAATCAGACCAGCTTATAGAGGCGATTCACAAAACCAACAGTGACAACAAAGTCTTATGTGCCTTACAAAAGAAGGATTAGGCAGTTCACATGTCATTGTGATTGGGCAGAGATAAAAGCTGATTGCTGCAGCATGGCAAGACACACTTCAATTTTAATTGATTATTTTATGAGACATCTATAACTCTGTTGCTTAGTCATTGTTAAATGCAACTCGAAGCAATGAAAACTCAGTTTTGACATTACTAATTTTGCATGACTTTTCTGTGAAAGGTAGAGCCACTTGTAGCATTGTTACGCAAATTTTATGAATGCTGTTTAATACACCACTTTTAGGAAATATAATTAAATTTCAATAGATTAGTATTATGGGATTTTTTTTAAAAATGTTTTTGTCTAGATGATATCCCATAAACAGCAATTAAAAGTTCTTAAAAGTGCTTAGGACTTAAAAATCCCTAGGCACTAAAAAGTGCCTAGGACTATATTAAATTCACTGCACTTACCCTATTAAGGGCTTACAAGAAAATTTATTAAACTTTATAATATTGAAGAACAAATAAGTCATTTTATTCTGTTATTTTTTAAAATGTAATGTGTTGTAAAACTACTCGTGTTGCATATGTGAACGAAGTAGTCTGATTTGAAAATAGTTAAGAAATTAAATGTTGTCCCTATATTATAAAGTATGTCATTTATCAGTGAGAATAGAGAGCTTTACCTATCTGCATAATTTAGTTATAATGTACAGCCTTTAACGTTTGGAAGTATGAAACTTGCAAGCTGATAACTTCTATGCTAATTTCTTACCATTTTTCAAAGGAATTCCTTTTTTTACCCAACTGATGCCTCCTAGTGTTTCACATAATAAAACACTAATGAGTCAACCATAAATACAAACATTGTTTTTTCATTGTCTTCATCTTCTGTGATACATAAAATTAATATTTATGTATTTAATTTTGTATGTGTTCTTGTAATCAGACAGGAAACTCACGTAAATTCAGATGTTTCATCTTAGTGGATACTGAAGGTGCTTTTTTGTTTTCTTTCATTCTAGATTTGCCTAGCTGTATTTTGAAAAGTTTAAGTTATATAAAATACATTTTCTTTTTCTACTTTTGTTTCTTATGTGCATTAAACCAACTTCTTAACAACGTATTATTAGGCTCAAATACAAATTTTAAAAATTGGGTAGGGTCATACTTTAAAAATAAGCCTTCAAAATAGGCAATAAATGCAGTTATAGAACTGTTTGAAATATCCTGATGTACCTCACAGCCAAATAAAATGAAAAAGACTGATCTGAGACACACTCACTCACTACAGTCCTCAAAGAACAGTTGTCACATTTTGTAACCATTCCTGGTTATTTTACTGCCTTGTAACAAGAAAACTGTATTAAGACAGTCTTCAAATTCACAAAATGGGCACCTTACTCTTTTAATGGTCTATTTGCATTATCAGTACTTCGGAAAAGGCATTCATGTGCATAAAATATTGAAATGGAACTTGAAGTGGTAAAGACTGAAATACAGTGTCCTTTTCTTACAAGTGCATTCTGATCTTATAACTAATTAATAACTAAAAAAAAACCTCAACAGTATCATAAAACAGTAGAATTTTTTATTTTTATTTTAAATTTAAGCATGTAGAGTTATCTAGCATCAGTGTGACAAAATAAAACTTACAGTCCTCAG